TTTCATCAGGAAGTATCAGCACATTAAGATCAAAGTCTTACTCTGAGAAGATCCTACTCTCAGCAAAACCAGAGTTGTTCATAGGCTGAAGGCACAGCTCAGAGCAAAATGGCAAGATCACCATAGCACTTCCTCCCCTTGGGGAAGACACGTTCCAGTCCTGCTCAGGCAGACTTTTGCAGCATGGCTCAGTGCCCAAACCACGGGCTTACAGGATACTCTCCTGGAGCACCTACACTCTTAATAACTAACTGCGTATTCACTGGAATAGGAACATCTTCCATAAGGCAGGGAAATGCAATATACCATTAACAACTAATGTCAGTGTCTCTAATCTGTGATCCACTCTAATCACTTGCCATGGGACTTCACTAAATCGTGTAATTGACTCCAGCCTTTCCAATTACAGTTAAAACAATTTTCATGAGGGAGAATTCACCAGGCTGTTAAAATAGTTCACTGAATTTACTCTCTTATTATCATGACTACATGTTTGACTACATTTCTATTTGGATCTTTAATTTCAGGCACCGTCATCTATAACACAAGAAGCTCTCACCTCATGTGATTGAAATTATACTAGAAAAGCATCTGAGCGATTAACCAGGTATCTTGATACATGGTGTTTGTAATGTAAAAACCAGTAAGTTCTTAATCTTAAAAAAGTGATTATCAAACCCTGTTATCTTACTAAACTTAAAATATTGCCCATTTGTGAGTTTTCTTAGTGACTAATTCAGACAATGATGTAATGCTCTGATTCATTCTCCTACATCATAGACCATCACAGTAAGTTTGGTCTAACACATTGATCCTTTCAGAGCTTATCAGTCAGGCTTTGGGGTAAGGGGACTGGCAGGTAGAGGTACCTATCTTTAGCAACACCACCACATTCTTCTTTGCATTGTTGTTGCATCTTCTAATGACAGGCTTCAGCTTGACCTTTGAGAAGACAGTATTCAACCTCTAGATCAAATTTAAACCAGTGTAGTTTGAAGTTACATGCTCATAGGGAGGTATGAAAGTGCAAGAATTTATTCCAAGAGTCAGGGGGACCGAGTCATACCGAGATAATCAGCAAACAGATGGGCAGAAGACACTGAAGGTTCAGAAATGTACATGAAGGCACATAGCACAGAAATGTGGATTTTTGCTGTTTAAAATGTGGTTTCTCAAAAAGCACAACCGACTGCAGACAGGACACCATAAGAGAAGTGCAGTGTGTGCAGAGCATAGGAGAAGATAAAGGAGAGGGACTAGGAGGGAGCTACTATTGATGCACATGGCAGGAAGGCAGAACTGAGCATAGACAAAAAAGTAGTTTACCATCAAAAGCATGCATGTCCTCTGGCTTAATTAGTCCTTGCTAATGGTGATGTGGTGCTCCTACTACCAGTCTGCTCACCTCTGTCCCTCCTTCTGATTATGGCACTTACCAGCATTACTTAAACATTTGGCAAAGAGAGACATAAGCATGGATGGGAATGCAGCAATGCTGTTACAGTTACTCCAGCCTCTTCTAGTCAACTGCCCACCTGAGCATGACTTAGGCACAGATGCAAGAGAAGGAAAACAGTTACTAGCACCTCCCCTCAATGGAAGGATAAGAAATAAAGAAAATGTGAAAGAACTAACAAAATCCATGTCTCTATCCAGACCTTTATTAACTCGTTTGGCAGCAAACAAGCCATCTTCTAGGCTTTAGCAGAAACTAGCTTATGTTTTGCTACACTTTAACAATCCCAAGCTAGTTCCTTTCCCTTGACACAATTTATAAAATTTGCACTCCAAACATCAATTGCTGTAATAATAACACTACTTAAATTTCATTATGTAACCTCATGCTATTTGTTCATGAGGATTAGTGCTTAATTAATTAACAACACTTAGTATTTCCACTTAACACTTTACCTCTTACCATCATACAGTCAATACCTAATTAAGGGCAGAGCTCCACAGACAGTTCACATCAGGGCTTCCCTTTCACAGCTCTGTATCCAAGACTTCCTCACATAGTGTTACATTAATTCAAGTTGAAAGCCCTATTGACTTCATCAGGAAGCATGTAATGCCTTGGCTCTCAAGTTACTATCTTTGCAAGTTCCTTTTCTTTTCCTGTTGCTTTTGGTTGCTTACTATTCACCCAGGGATCTAATTATTGGCTAATGTGATGGGTGATAACGTGAACCATGTTATTAGTGTTAGCTACAAAACCTTCATTCTTCTGTTGTGAAAACCTGATTCTCAATCACCTAGTTGAACTGCCTTTGGATAGAAAATGTGTTAACCACAAGAAACACATTATAAAATATCAAGCCCGAGTTTTTAAGGGAGATGGTGCTTTCAATCCATCAGTCAAATGCCTGTTATGAAAGTGCCTTTCTTGTAAGCACCCCAGGGTGCTACACAACATCAATAGACAATATAAACACAGAGCTTTCATGGTTCACTTTACAATTGGACATTGACTCTGAACCTGTGAAACAGAAAGGAATTGAATTTCACGACCAAAGAGGATAATGTGCACAGGATTAAGCAGGCAACATGGGTAGAAGCAGGAAAGCAATACGGTGTTGGATGCTAATAGAGAGATTAAATTTACAAATAAGAAACCAAAGGAATAAAACAAGTCTGAGTAAACTCTCATAAAACAGAAGTAGCATTTGATGCTTCATATCAGTCCACTGTTTTTTTCAGAGCATCAAACATGCTCATGGGTTTATTCAAATCTTATTGATTGACTGGGCCCTGACTATGGGAACTGAGCAAAGAGAGCCCTAAATAGCTCCAGCCTAGAGGATTATCCAGACAGTATGGAAAGAAACTTCTGCCAGAGTCAAACTGGAAAAAAATAAAAACATTTGTCACAGTTTAAGAACTTGTCTAGTGTTTCAGAGGATGTCTTCACACGGAAGTGGCTGGCACTGCAGCAGCTTGGGGCTGCTGCTGCTCAAACCTGCTCCAGAAGAAAGCAAGTGATCCTATTCAGCAATGTGGCTTGCAGCTCTAAGCGGTGCTGTGGTGTCCCATGCACATCACAGTTTGTATCAGTTAGGACAAACAGTCTTCTCTGGAAGCCCCTCTTGCCACATGAGCCACAGCTTGATAGATACTAGAAATGTCAATTAGTTGGTTCTTTGAGAACTGACTGTATTGAACGTAATCTGGCCTAAACATTTTGACACTGAATTCTTCCACAAGGATAACTGTGTACTGCTAACTGCAGTGTCTTGGTGCCCGGAATATTCTGTGTTAGTGTTACTCTTAACTTCTAAAATCCCAGGAGTTTAAAGTAAAAAACAGGCCTTATAACACATAACTATAACTTCATTTACACTGCAGATGGACGAGACCTTTATTGCCATATTCAACCTCAATCTGAGGTATCAACCTCAGATACTCATCCTAGACTTTTCTGGACATGTATGTTTGGAATTCAGTACTTGCCATTCATCTTCCCCCCAGTCCCCACATTTTTTTTCCCCCTTTTTCAGCTTCAACTTCAACCCTCCAATATTCCCTTGCCTTCAGTCACCACAGTCCAGGACCCCCTTATCTCAGACACAAAACAGCCTAGCCAGCCCCAACCAGTTAACACCTAAGCTCTCCATCACTTGGTTATCCTGCAGCCCTCTCTAACATTTACCACCTAGGACCCATCCCAGACACATTCCAGCCTGTCCATGACCCCTTCCCTGGACCACATCTGCACTGGTTAAGGCTGGGTCCACTGATCTATATGGTTACATGCGAGTTAGGCAAATCATGCACTTTTCTTATAATGAGTTTCCTAAAAGGTAATGCTCAAGACAGAACTGTCAGCTGTGGTCACTCTTGATCAGGAAATGTGACCTGTTAATTAGCATGCACATTGGATCTGGCCATTAACACATTGTGAAACTACTGTGGAAGCTGATTCAAGTTATTATCTAGGTAACTGTGCTTCTGTTTCCAGCACGAGGCTGTCACATGAGACTTTCTGATAACTTTTGTATTTACATTTGCTGTGCATCTGTCCTTGCATCTCCAATCTCTGATGTCTTGGAGGAACTCATGCTGAGATAGTTCCTGACTGAGGTCAGCTTCCAGAACTGGAACTCTGCCGGGTGCAGCCCAAGATGTGAACCAAACGCAGGCATAAAAGCAGAGTTAAGACAAAAGCTTTGCATTTGGAAGGCAGTTCTCTACTTTTGCATATGATAAAAAAAACTATTTAGACTACTTGTATAATTAGGATTTTACCTCTCATTCTTCTGTTTTACTTAGCCTGTACAATGAAACAGGTTGATCTGTCTAGTCTGTCCTACAGTTTTCACTCATGCTGTCATTACCCTGTGTAGTGTTGGGGTTTCAAAGCTTCATAGAACTGTGTATTCATTTCTGCTGTTCATAAGGCTCTCCCTGTAAGAGGTCATGGGGACACATCCCTAGAGTAGTCAGCAACAGATCCATGGTGGTCATGAATGTAAGTTTCAGCATGTATTTCCTCCCTGCTTCCAGCCATCAGTGCCTAATGTCATTGGAACAATTTATACTTCTTGGCTAGCACAACCTTCTCCAGCAATCAATTTCATGAGTGATATTGATTGCAGTAAGTGGTACCTGTGCTGCCCCTGTTGCTTCATCAGAAGAAAGTGTTCCTGCTGCTGCACCACCATGGTGCCTTGCAATTTAGCCTGCACAGGGAGTGCTGGATGAGTTGTTTGATGACTGGCAGTACAAGATATCTTTGCCTAGCGAAATTGTCCAGCACTAGAGTTAATACTGAAGCACAGGCCAGCTGAAGCGATGTTTAAAGGGCAGGGTATGCTTCAGGGCAAATGTGGTTGACACAGGTACACTCAGGATATATCTTACCATTTTATCACTATGCCTATTTGAAGCACAGCCTTTCCATCCATTGATTCTTAGCACTCAATATAGACAAATATTGAAATATTTCTGAGAATGGCATTTTCACAGGTAGCATTACCCAGCCCAACCCAGTTCATATTTCCTACCTTGGTGGTCCACAACTTGACTGTCCAGTCAAATGATGATGTGACAAAGAGATGGGAAAAGTCAATTGGACCCACTGCCATGTGACAATTGATTCCTGTGACAGGTCCTTGGTGGCCTTCAAAAATTTCACCAATGCCAGCTTTACTGCAGGAAGAAGAGACATTTGGATTCAGAGAGTGATTGAACATCTGGTGATTTAAAAGATTTTTTCTTTACTCTTAGCGTTCTGTTTCCTTTTAAAGTTCCATTTAATCTGTAAATCTCTCCTTTCAGTAAGGCCTTTGCCTGCAGAGGTTTACTGCTGTTAGCACAATGAATGCTTAGGATCCAGCACAGAGAGACTTTCTCTTACTTTTGAGGACTTGCCTTACTCACTTTTTCATACACTGTCTGCTATTGTATCTTGAAATAACATTTATGTATAATTATAAAATAATTATAAATTATAATTATACTGTAGCTTATGCCTTTGAGTAAGCCATTATCACAAGGAATAACCATTATAATAAAAATGCAAGTATGTAAATGACTTATCATGAGCAATTCTTTTTCTCTTAAATATCTAAAATAAGTTTCCACAGCAGTCAGTCAAGTCACTAGGAAGCAAATCCTTTTTCACAAAAAGTAAAGGATCTGTTCCTGTGATCAGGTATCATACATTCATTACTTTGAACAAGGGGAGATGTGCATTTCATTGGCCTGAGGCTAGAACAGCTGTTTGGAAGTGGAAATACAACGCTGTGTAAGAGACATTGTGCACAGTTTCCTTCTTCCTGGAAGCAAATGATGCCACATCAGTTGTCAGTGCTCTCTCACAGTATATGCAGAAAGAGGATTAATGAAATTATCCTTTTAGTTGCACTATAGAAAAATTACCAATGGAAGAAAATACACTAAAAATAGGCATAGCTCTGACAAGGCTGCCAGCCCTGTGCCAGTGTGAACACAGCGTACCCAAAGAGATGAGGAGCTGCACTGGAGGAAACTGGTCCCTCATAATGCCAGTGTGGTGTCCCTTCACCTCTCCTGTTGACTGTGACAGCGTGGCCTCCCCTGACAGACCTTGCAGCATGTCCTGGAGCAGAGGCTAAGTTCTGCAGTGCTGGGTACAAAGCACATCTCTTATTTTATCCCCATCTGTCTACCATGTAGTCAGCAGGACACGGGAGTTCCAGAGCACTGAGAACACATTGTTTATCTACTGTGCTTTGCCACACCTATTTCCAGAATAACATATGGCTCTCCATTGTGCTGGGCTGAAGGACACAGGAGCCTCTGGAAGTAAAAGGGAGATGACAGCACCAAGCTCTAGGAAGGACAGGCAGGAGCAGAAAAGGAGAGTGTTTGTTGATGGTCAGCAGAAGGTTTGCTAAAAAGGTGGGCTAACAAGAGTATCTGGCACCTTTCTCCTCTTGAGAGGAACAAACCAGACATGTCTGAAAGATCAGAAGTGAGAAATGCCCTTGGGCATGCTTCATTTATACTAGCAGCCTAAGACTAATTCAAACCATCAGCCACCACACAGCCTCAGTATAATGCCTATTTCACAATACTGTCAGCAGTCAGGCTAAAATAAAAATATTTCAAAACAAAGATTATTTGGAACAAAACATGTAAAATAGTATCTATGCAACATTAGGAATATGCAATAGAAGCCTTACAATCTTAAACCAGTGTATCGATGTCTATTCAGTCAACAGAAACACAGAATATGATAAAATATGAATTCAGATAATACTGCAAACTACTGAAGTGTGGGGATGAGCTTTAAATGGATCTGTGAAAAAGGTTTGTTCTTTCCAAAAGCCTTTTGAGCATCTCAGAGGATGAAACTACTATCAGAAACTAATGGAGCACACTAGCATCCTGCAGATTTACAGGGTGGAAAATAAGGAACTTGGAGTATTAAACTACAGCCTGGGTTATGCAAGGAAGGGATATGACCACTGTGTGTGAGAAAGCAAAAGGTACCAGTTGTGGGAGCTCTCATACCCCCGTGGCACACTGCACCTACATCTCTGTTGGCAAATAAACCAGGCAGCAGTCCAGATTAAAAGCAAGTGGTGTGGCTCAGCTCCTGGCTGTACAACAAAAGCCTCTTGCTCTCTTGGAGAGGATGGGCATGTCCAAACTGCCCACCAAGAGCAGGGGCCAGCAGGGCTCAGTCTCTAGCCTGTGGTGCTGTGGGGGAACACCCAGCTCTGGGTGGTCACACTCCGGGACATGCTGCTCTGTTTCTTGCGTGTGTGTGTGCCTGTGGTGGCTTTTCTCTGATGTACACCTGTGGAAACTGAAGGTGGAGCTGAGGATGGTAAAAACCAAAGCAGATTACTATCTCTTATGAGTGGTTTAGGTCTGATTGCTCTGCAACAAAACTGTCTCCTAGGGCCTGATTTGACCTGCCTAGACACAGATAACTACATCAGCAAGCTGTCTAGACCTCTGTCTCACCTCATAGGTGAGAAAGAGTAATTTCTGAGGTCACAGTCATCTCTTCTTCCGGCAGATGTCTGAAAAAGGCAAAGGAAATCAAACCCTAAGAGCAGTCATTGCTCCCCACTAACTACACAGGAACCCTGGGGGAGCTACCCCCATGTAAGAAGCTTGTAGGCACAGATGCTTAATGTCAGGCAACTCCTGTCCTAGTCGTGCAAAGTACAACAGTACAGACACCATTGATCCAAGAGAGAAAACATGAAACACTCTCCATAAACACTTGGCTACCTCACACCAACACAGGTACAAAATGCTACTAAAGTACAAAATGCTGAACATCACCTCCCATGACGACAGGCTGTGTAGACTGTTCCCTCTTCGCTGCCAACGACAAAGTTATTGACGTCTCCAGTTGGGAAAGCCATTCCTGTAACCGCCACTGGTTTGGACTTATTGTACACCAGCTCCATGCTCTCCTACCAAAAGAGGTCTTTGTTATTATTCTGCAATCATCCTTCTGGTTGGCAGTTTAGTTTGTTTGTTTCCTAATTAATTTCTAGATGTTACACAGGGTGGCAGCAGGAGAAGAAGAAATCATTTCACCCAGCCACAGGACTTTGTTTTGTACACATGATGCTGCAAGAAGATGCAGTGTCACAAACTAAGATGCACCACTCCTGCCATTCCGTGTTGTCTGTCACATGTTTGGGAGTGGCTGGAAGGCACTGGGCTTTGCTGCAGCATCTTAAATCAGGCAGCCATGACCTGTGAGAATTTAAAATGTAATGGTGCAGAAACTAAAGATTATACCTTAATAGTTACATTTGCCAGCCCCAGGCTCGAATAAAACATGCAATAACCCTTGTATTTACAAATATTTTTTAAATAAATGGTTTGTCAGGAAACGTGCAATATCATGTGCAGCTGAGGCACTTATCAGACTGTGCCATTTGTCCCTTTGGAAAACAAAATTTAAAAGTTGGGGTCCTGTCACTACCACCATTCTAAGTGTTACTTCTCAGGGATTTTCTGAAGTAACCATAAATACTCACTCTAGACTCTACCATCAAGCTACAAACTAACAAATATGGGTTGTTTGGCTTTTTTTTCTTTGGGTAGCTATATTTCAAAGTAAATCAGCATGCCCATTTTTACAATCAGCATGCCCATTTTTGCTGTTGCAAGTCCAACCATCATGAACAGTTTGTGGCCGCTGGAAGATGCGTATGCTTTGAGCAGATTTTGCACAACTTTTTGGTCGTTCAGCCTAACTGGTGCAACGCAAGAATCCACAAAGGGACTGAATGATTTAGCAATTTTCATTTTTAGCTATTTAAGTGGGTATGTTTTCTGCGCTGAAAATGTCTAAGCTGCTGTTCTTATAGGGCCAAAACCTGTGGCGTTCTTCTCAGAAGGGCTTTTTGCTATAGCTAGAGAAAGTGGGCATCCCTGTGAGAGGAGATGGCTGCAAATCCATAGAGGAAAACTTTTGCTTGGTTTATACTTTTCTTTGCAATACATTTGGTTCTACTAAAAAGGCAAAGCAAGACCTGGAAAATACATTGGCAGAGCACCTGTGGACCACGTGTGTCTGTGAAAATTTTCTGGGGTGAGAGAATAATTTAGTGTCTCTGTGGAGACATGGCAAGATACTATGGTGGACTTTCTCATCCCAGCAACTACAGCATGGATGTAAGCAAGTGCTCTGGATCTGTGTCTTCGGAAAGTTTCAGACTGACACACATCAGCAACACTCTGCTCCTCCTAGTTTAAAGCTATGGCATGTAGCTTGACATCAAGTCCTGTGGCTTTCTTTTCTAGATCACCATGATCCATAAGCCAAACTTCAGCGTAATGTGGGGTGTGTTCCCATCCTTGTTGAACGTCCCTTTAGGAGCAGGGAAATTCTAGCTGAGTGATGAAATACTGGAACTGAGGTGTTCACAATTCTCTGCTTCAGAATTCAGTATTCTAGTAAGTGAATACATAAGGGTGGGATTTATCTTCTTGATGTTTAAGTGAGGAACTGGGGAAGGGATTCAGGTCCCTAAATGTAGGTGTCTGGGTCATTTTAGATGTCTGAAGATACAGCTACCAGACCCATACTGTTGCCTTAGATGTGCATCAGCAGTGTGATCTAACTTTGAAGTTGGCCTCATTTTGAGTATGGGAGTAGATGGGATGACTTCCAGAAACCCCTTCCATGTTAAGATTTGATGGTTCTCTATCTCAGGGTGGGTGTTTGAAATGGTATTTCACACTGAGATGGGATGACTCATCCTCTAGAGCCCAGTCTCCCTCTACATTGACTGTAAAAGGAACTCAAATTACTAACTTAGACTTGGCATAGACCTAACTTTTAGATAGCTCAGGTTAGGACAGAGGAGTCCCACCTCTTCTGTCAACTCTGGAAAGCAGATAATTCTATAGTAATTGCACATTAATGTATGATTAATGAATGATTTATGGAATTGTTCATAGGAGTTTATATGCAGCATTCTGAAATGAGATCAGATCTCATGATGCTTAGTAAAAATATATATATTTTTTCCTAATAAATTATGTATAAAAAATGAGTGATGCTTTGAAATAGAGAATTTTCTACTCCAGAAGATACCACTTAAAAAAATGCTGCCCATAGATCTTTTTCAGCATCAGATTCTTTGTTTAGTTTCCACAACTGTAATCACTAGTGGTTTGGACACTTTTCCTGAGTTTCCCTTCATTTCTGACACAAAGAAAGGGGGGCTGAAAGGAAGACAATAGTAGCAAACATTCCAGAGAGGAGAAATCAGCTCTAAAACTTTTGATTTGCATTGTTTGTTCCTTTGGCTACTGAAGGCAGGCAGCAAAGTAAGCTTTCTGACTGTGCTGTGGAAACCCAGAGTGCCCAGAGTGTGTTCAGCAGCAGTGCAGTCCAGTCTGTATTTGTTCAATGATGCTGTAGAGTAAGTACAATTTATACCACAGGCGACTTCTGTAATTACCATGCTTTAAAATGGATTATTTCATTTTCACTTGAAACTGACCTATGTATTAACGTATTACAATAATTACATGATTTGTGGTAAAGGAAATGGGTTTTGGCTCTTAGCAGAGACTGCTGGAAGCAAGCTATATTCTTTCAAGTGCATCCATTGGTTTTAGTTTATATAAGACGGGAGGTTTTAGCTTTTAGGAGCAATGATGTTCCATTAAGCAGGTATCCTGCTCTACCTACGGTGCTTTTTTTCCCCCCTGTATAGGTGAAAACAAACCCACCTGTGGAGTTGAGAGCATGTCCAGGCTCCAGGAGCACATTTTGCCATCCGTAGAGACAGTAATGAGGTTGTGGGCATTCTGTGTTCCAACTACATTCACACAATACACAGGATGCTGAAAACACATTAACACTGGAAATCAGAGAGCCATTTTCACATCTTCACAAACAAATTTCTAGTGTCTCATATGTTATTTTAAATAATGATTAAGTAGTCACATGATGCCTGGAGAATACAGGATTCAGCTTATGCCAAATAGGAATTGTTTTGAGGTTTGTTTGTTTTTTAATTTAAATTGTAAGAGATACGTTATAGAGGTGGAAATGTTTTCTAAGTTTCATTTTCCTCATAATAAAACAACCCAGCTAAGTAATGCTTTGAAAATACTGAATTATATGGATGAGATTTCACCCACAGGGACATGTATCATTCTACTGATGGCTTTTGACACTGAAAATGTTTGGCAAAAAGAAGCAAGCTGTCCAAATGGAATAAAATTGAAAACTTTATTCAAGAAAAGAGCTGCATAAAACTTGAACTTTTCTAGAATTTGGCTTGCAAGCTAAATGTTTGCAAATGTACTCCCATTGAAAAACATGTACAAGTCCATCAGCATTTTCCAGCACTAGCCAATATACTTTTTAAAATCTGTCACTATAAATATGGAATGATTAAATTTAGGGTGTTACACTTGGTTCATGATAGCATAGTCATTCCATGGAGGCTGAATTCCACTTGGAATATGCAATAATGAAACTTGGCCTATTCCTTTTCCAAGGAACCTGGTAACATTTTGGGCCCAAAGCATCATCTGATATCTGATGGTGACACATGAGGGACGGTTCAAGTTCGGGTAAAAATCAGTAAATCTGAACAATAACATTTACATTCCTTTGGCCAGTACAAGTGACACTGCTGAATGGAGGGTAAAACATATACACAAGTCAAACAAAGAAAAACTGTGTTTCTCTGCCTCTATTGTTGATGAATAGAAGAACTGTGTCTCCAGGAAGAAATAAAAAATACTTTTCACTAATACTTCCCTTATTTAAAGAAATTGGGACCAACTTATAAGACATCCCTATAGAGCTTCTAAGCCCACTCCAGGTAGGCTTAGAAACCTAGCATTAGCTCCTGCTGGAAGGAATGGCAGAACTACTCCTTACTTTAGACTACTGTAAGATCCAGCTGCAGGTCACCTGCCCAGGCAGTAGG